TCTAATCACTAAAAATTAACAACAATATGTTTTTCTTAAAATAGCACCAATATAAACTAAATACTTTTTATGGGCTGTTTGTTTACAAACTCAAAAATGTAAACAATAACAAGCCATAACAGTTAGTTTAAATGTTAAGTACAGACGGCGCTGCGATCTTAATTTTAGATCCCAATTGAAAGTGCTGTAGTCCGGCGGGAGCGCACTAATAAGTCGTCTAGTTTAAGAGCAAATAAATATCAGAGTGTAACTAAATGGGACCTTAATATCATCATTCAGTATACATTTCTACATAAGAAATCAAGAATGACGACATTTTTCATTGGTCGAGATAAAATTTACGTAGAAAAAATGAAGAAAATTGAGCTTTTCAATGTTTTTTCTTTGTTGTCCTGCGATTCGATTTCTAAGAAAGATATATTCACCGTTTTAGAATCATCTGAATGCTCTTATTTTTATCTAAACAATAGCAGTTAAAAACTTTTTTTTTTTGGAAAATAAAATGAGAAAAAAAATAAAAACTTTTTAGTTCAATCATTTTGCGAATTTTCCAATTTGTTTACACCCCTCCATCTCTCTTTTTTGTATAATCAACCGCTACTTTTTTTTACACCAAAAACTGCGGAATTTCTTCGTCTTTATTTTTGTTCGATTATGTATATGTCTACATAAAGTATTTTTGATGATACATCATTTAGAGAGATGCGCGCTCTATAAGTATCAACAGAGTAAAGTATTCCCCGCAAACCCGCCTGCTTCATCAACTGTTTGTTTATTGTGCAAGTCAAGTACATAGGATAGCAAGTGTTATGCATCGTGTGATTTATGCGTTATTTTTCTATACGGCTTAATAAATAATCGATAATAAATAAAAAAAACTATAGACTATAGTGATTGTGATAAGTTAGTAAAAGTGAAATACAAGTTTTTAATTGGTGTAAGTATTTTTAAAAAATAAGGAAAAAGTAAACTGAGTAAATTTTGTTTTTAGAATATAGGAAGGTTCCTAAACTGAACAATATGAATAATTGGTGTCTAATCTGTCGAAATAACTTTGACGAATCGAGTGAATTATACGTAAAAAAACCTAGACTTAGTGGTATAAGTTCAATTTTAAATGCTGCACATGAACGAAATGATCAAATTAGCGCTAAAATTCTACTTTTAGAATCTGAAATATTACAAAGCACAGGAACATTTAGTTATCATTATTCATGCAGAAAAACATTTTGCAGTCAAAATAATATTAAAAATAAAAAACTGTTAACCCCTTCGTCAAGCACAAGTAATATTTCTTATAGTAACAGAAATACTGACATTTTATTTAATATTAAAAGGGACTGCTTAATATGCGGAAAAAGTGGAACGGTAAAAAAATTAGGACTAACAAAAATTTGTACTGGAACAGGTAAAACTACTAGAAATAAAATTTTACAAGCTGCAAAGGATCGTCAGGATACTTTAATACGAGGCAGAATTGAATTTTATACAGATTTATTTGCAGCCGATGCTAAGTATCATAAAATATGTTATATAAAATATATAAATAAAAGACATATAAGTGCCATAAAACGCAAACACCACACTAAACAAATTAATATTGAAGAAGAAACCTTCCAGACGCTATGTTCTGAAATTGATGATCTTATAATTGTTAATAAAAACTCTGTAACACTAGAAAATCTAACTAATCGTTATAATGAAATCCGAAGAGGAAAAAACCTCGAAAATATTACAACAGAAAACCTACGTAAAAAACTAGAATTTCATTTTAAAAATAAAATACTTTTCAAATCTGAATTAGGAAAGGAGACAATTGTTTATTCAAAAGATAATAAAATTATTGATTTTATTCCTATATCAGGAAATGCCAACCTGGATTCTTCTAGTAGTAATAGTGAAATTGATGATATACAAATTGACGAAAGTGAACTTTTAGTACTTCATAAAGCAGCGGCAATATTAAGAAAAAAAATCAATCATCACATAAATCAGCCATCTTCATCCAAACAAACGTATTTAGGCCCTGACGCGATAAATGAACAGAAATGTCAAAAAGAAATACCGAATGAATTATTTCAATTCATTACATGGATTTTATATGAGAAAGAGCTAAGAAATGTTTCAGATGAGAATTCATTCAATCTTAAAGTTATGTCCATTTGTTCTAATATTTTAAATAGTTTTGACAAAAATAAAAATTATACTTGTTTCGGATTCAGTTTTTCCCTTTATATGTATCAGACTGTAAGAAGCAAAAAATTAATAAATCTTTTACATCAGTTTGGTTATGGGTGTTCCTATGATGAAATACGAACATTTTTAACATCCCTCGCTGTTGAGCACTTAAATGAGGAAAATTTTATACCACCAGGAATTGAGCCAGTTGAAAACCAAAACTTTATTCACGCTAGCATTGACAATTTTGATTTAAATGAGGAGACTATTGATGGAAAATGTACTACACATGCATTAGCAATGGTTCTTTTTCAAAAAAAATCTGAAGTTCCGAGAGGTTCATCCGTTGAAAGAACAAAAAAACGTTCTTTAGGAGAAACAGATCTCAGCAATAAAATCCTCATTTACAGAAAACCATCAACCCGACCAGAGCCACCTCGATCAGATAAAAATTCAGTTTGCGCAATTAATGACAATTTTGTCAAAAAATCGTTTTCCATCGACAATTTATGGCAGCTTTTACAGTGTGTTAAAAAAAGGGAAACGGTAACAACGTGGAATGAATTTAATACTATATTATCTGAAAATAATTTATATGTATCGAATACATATTATCTACCATTTTTAAATGCCCCTCCCACTGATTTTGATACAATCTTCACAGGTCTTGTTAAATTGGTAAAGATAGCAGAAACGCTAAATCAAAATCATATTGTAGTGACAGCAGACCTTTCAATTTATAGTAAAGCACAAGAAATTCTTTGGAATAAACCTGCACAATTACATGATAAAGTTACTATGCAACTAGGCGGTATGCATTTGACAATGGCGTTTATCGCAAGTATTGGCTGTATTTTTGCTGATGGGGGCCTTTCTAGCATTTTAGTAGAATCTGAAGTTTATGCTGAAATGTCTTGTACCCAACTTCTTCAAGGCAAATAATATGATCGAGGAATAAGAGCTCTCATTTTAGTAGCAGACACTTTAAGTCGATTGTTTTACAAATCAATGATGGAGTGGCTAAAAGAAACTAATTACGAATCAGTATTTAGCGAACACTTTGTTAATCTTCTCAATGAATTAGAAAATGTCATTTTAACTGATGCTTCTACTTTTGATAGAAAAATAGTAAGACTATAATGGAATCTTCAGAAGAATTGGAAACCTGTATTAATTCTTTTTAAAAATATGGATGTGAAAATAATTCTACTTTCAAATACTGGTGTTTGTTTTTAGACTCAGTTGATATTCTAATGGCTTTAATCAGATCAGAACGCAATGCAGATTTTAATTTGCACTTAGAAACCGTCAAACAAGCATTACCATTTTTTAAAGCAGGAGGACGTCTTAACTATGCTAAGTACGTACCTGTATACCTGCTAGATATGCAGAAATTAAAAAGAGATCATAGAAACATGTACGAATATTTAAATATAGGAAATTTTGTAGTAAAAAGAACAAATAATAAACCATTTAATTGTGTTGCTTCTGATATGGCTTTAGAACAAACTATAAATAGAGATTGCAAGAGTTCTGGAGGGGTAATTGGATTTTCAAGACAGGAAGGTACTTTAAATCGATGGCTAATTACAAGACATTTAGTCGGAGAATATGCCAATAAATTAGAACTATTGGTATATAATCAAACACAATTTAAATATGGTCATTCACAAAGAGTACGAGATGAAAACGATGTAATGAAAATGAAAAATTTGATTGAAAATTCATGGGTGAACCCGTTTGATATAACCGAAACATCAAATGATCTAGTGAATACTGCGACTGGAAAAATAGCATCAACGGATGTTAAGGATTCCCTTATGTCTTTTAAGTGGGAAGCCCACTTGAAAATGAAAACATTTATAAAGGACCGCTTAACCGAAAATGAAACAGTCAGTTTTTGGAAAACAGTACCACGATTTTCTTTAAAAACTTTCAATAATGATAAAATTAACTACAAGAACTCCAGTAAAGGGAAAAATATAAATCCTGAATTTATGTTTAGAAGAATAATCAGTGCCGCTCAATTTCAAAATATGGATTTTATTGATATACTATCTCATGAATTAACTCCAGTCCCTCTTGCTTTATTCAATGATGATGGAACAATGAGAAAAACTCCCAAATCGGATCTAGCAAACAAACTGCATTCTTATTGCGAAGCATCATTACAGGTTCCTGAAAATTTCAGCTCTTATGTTTTAGACGGAATGGCAATTCTTCATTCTTTGAATGCGAAATCTTTCAAAACATTCGATAATTTAGCAGATGTGGTCCTAAATAGAATTTTACGCATTTTCCAGGAAAACCCTTCATGTATCAGTATTTCTTTAATATTTGACAGATATGATATTGAAAACTCCATAAAAAACATTGAAAGACAAAGACGAGGACAAACTACAATAGGAACATTTAGCATAGTCGGCAGTAGACAAGTCCCAAATTATAAAACATTTTTAAAGTCGTGTGCAAATAAGAAGTCACTTATACAATATATTTCAAAATGTTTAACTGAAGCTTCTAAACAGTTTCCTGCAGGAAAAGAGCTCTATATTGCAGGAGGTTTTCAAAATGGAGAAGAATGTTTTAAAGTAAGTCATTAAAATCACCTGTATCCAATTTATGAGTTTTTAATATTCTTACAGATAAGCAACACAGATGTTATAAAAGAGGAAACTTTGAAATGTAATCATGAAGAGGCAGACACTCGTATTATTTTCCATTTGACAAATTCTCTTAATAAAAACCGTACAGTGGTTATAAAGTCGGATGATACCGATGTATTGGTTTTATTACTTTATTATTATTGGAACAATGAAATTATGAAAACTTGTGAAATTTTTATGGAAACTGGCCACATCGTGAACAACGTCAATAAAAAAAAATACATTCCCGTACATCAAATAGCAGAAAATTTAGGAAAGCCAGTTTCAGACAGTTTACCAGCTTTTCACTGTCTCACTGGTTGTGACACGACCAGTTCTTTTTATAAAATAGGAAAGAAATCAGGTTTTCAAATTTTGTTAAAATCATGTAATAACATTGACCTTCCAGCTTTTGGAAAATGTGAAATTGATGATAGTGTTTCCATAGCTAGGAAATTTGTTAGTAAACTTTATAAACAAGAACGATGTGACAACCTTAACGAGATAAGGAGAACATTGACACAAACCACAAAAAAGTCTGCACAAGAAATTCCGCCTACAGAGGATGCATTTTATTTTCACGTTTTAAGGTAGGTACACTTACTAAAAAATATTAAAAGTATGTATTATTTATTACTTTTTACAGATGTTATTATCAAACACATATATGGCTAAATAGTCACGTCGGAATTGTAAAATTATTTAATTTGATGGATTATGGATGGAAAAAAGATGATAATTATATTGTTCCGAAATTAATGTCATCTCCGGCAGTTCCAAGCAATATTAGGAAAATTATTTCACTAAATTGTAGTGAGAAGAAATGTGACACTAAAAAATGTGTATGTTTAGTGGAGGGAGTATTTTGTACAGAAGAGTGCAAATGTTGTTCGAATTGCTCAAATAAGCAAATAATTGGAAACATTGTAGAAGATTATGATTTTGTTTAGTTTTCTTGTCTGTTACATAATAACATTAAAAATAATAAAGGTGATGATAATAATAATAAAATGATAATAATATTAGTATTAATAATAAAAATTAAATAATAATTCATTAATTTTTACAAATATTTTTATGTTAATATAGAAGTTATAATTAATAAAATCTAATTACTTTTAAACCTTTAAACACACAAATAATGTGGCTTGCAAATAAACAAAACTGATTAAAAAACAAGCAATAGAACCTGGCCCGCATAGAGAAGATGCCAACACTACATGTAATGATTATGGAAGAAGGTACCTTTCTTCTCTAAGCGATGTTTCGATCTATTTCCGGCCGCTCGAGATAGATTTAAGTCGAATTCACCTGTTTAAAGGGTTGTAGTTTACAAATGACTTTACGTATAGCCCTATATAATCGAGCAAAAATGATGACGAATAAATTCCGCAGTTTTTGGTGTAAAAAAAAGTGGCAGTTGATTATGCAAAAAAAAGAGTTTGATAGGTAAAAAGTATTGGAAGATTCGCCAAATTTTTTAAATTAAAAGTTATTGTTATTTTTTTTTCCATAATTTATTAAAAAAAAAAATGTTTTTAACTGCTATTGTTTAGAGAAAAAAGAGAGCTTTTATATTATTCTAAAACGGTAATTATATCTTTCTTAGAAATCAAATCGCAGCGCAACAAAGTAAAAAAATTGAAAAGTTCAATTTTTTTCATTTTTTGTATGTAAATTTTATCTCGACCAATGAAAAATGTCGTCATTCTTGATTTCATATGTAAAAATGTATACTGAATAATGATATAAAGGTCGCATTTGGTTACACCTTTGAATTTTTTTTTTAACGATTATTACACGCCGTCCGCCGGTCTACTGGAGTTTCAGTTAAAAAGAAACAACCAAAGCCCAGCGTGAACGCCAAGAGGAGTCGATGCTTCCAGTGCCGCGGCAATGATAATAAATATCCCACAAAATGTGACAAGTGCAAAAAATTTGTTTGTCCCCTACACTCAAATATCAAAATTAAGAAAAGAGTAGTTTGTTCTTGTTGTTCAAGAGATGAAGATGGAGAATAAAAATGTATTTCTAGTGATTTACCAAAATAAAAATAAATGTATTTTTATTATCATGATAAAATAATATTTAATTTATTTTTCTTTTGCACTAACTTATATTTATACCTTATCTTATGAATAAAAAGTTAATTTTTTTTTTTGTAATAAAAGTGAAGCATAATATAAAAACATGTTTTATTATGATTCCCAAGGTTTTGTATTCAAACCCACTGAAAAAGAAAGTTTTGTATCCGAGTCAATTTTGACCCTGTTCTGGAATCGAAAGTTTTAAAATTATTTTGGTACGACGAGGATTAAAATCAACACACCTTATAACTGCCGGCTGTTTAAAATCACAGATTTTGTTTAAGCCACCTGTGCTGTAAAACACCCATAAAATTTGGATTTATTACCCCGTGTCGATTGCGATTCTACTATAACTAATAATATTTATTTATCATATAAAGATAGAACTATATTATTATTTTGACATGTTGCGGATGGAGGACTCATTGATCGCAGGATTAATTCTGTAGGCCAAGCCTTGTTTCGTGCTTATTATCAAATTATCTTTCAGTTGCACTGCAAGATAAATTTATGGTCATAGTTATACATAACATCGTAAAATCGGCATGTTCAGGCGTTGCGCAGTAGAAAACACAGCGTATCTAGTAATTTTAGTAGAGGAAAACTGTGGTAGACTCGTAAAAATTAAACCACTCACGAAGTTTTAAACATGTGGTTATCAAGTAAAGCAGGGTGGACGTACTGTGGACTAATACTAATTTACGATTTTTCTTACTTATTTTCAATTAATGATTTTACAGAGGCTCATGCTTATGGAGCATCAGTATTGCCTTCATGCCGACGCAAATATTTTCTTGTCTTCACTTTTTAATACTTTCTCAACGTTTAGGATAATAATTCTTAGTCCGAAATATAAAAAAACACATATTTTGTTGTCTAGAAATTTTTTATTATTTTAGTTTTATCTAAATAAATGAAATAAAATATTTACATAATAATTGGATAGAATTGGTAAAACATAAAATAATTGATATGATACAGTGTTTTTGTCATTGATATTAATAATAAAATAATTGATAAGAGGATTACATAATCACAAGGGATAAGTTTAAGTTTCTTGTAATGATAATTTCTTCATTGCTTTACATAATTCGTAAAATTGGTAACATTGAGCAGCCTGAGGTAATGGTAATACTTTTAAAAATTAGGTATAACAAGTAGATTAATTGGTAACTATTTATTTTGAAATCGCATGTTTTAATAACCAATAAATTAACTTGAAATAACCAAAAAAGGTTGACAGCTGTATGTACGTAATTTATATTAAAAAGAAAAGACTTGTATTTCGTGAAAAATTTTTAATTAATAAATGCAAAGCGCTTTCAGTATGGTGTCATCACTAGTGCTTGTCTACAAAAATTGTGGATGTAAACTTACAATCTATAAATATGTGTAAAAATAAAATTTGAGTAAGACTTTTAAGTCAAAAGTTTAAAAAATATATATAAGGTAATTTTGAACAATTTAACAATTAAAAGAAAACAAACAGAGTGACATAACCCAGTGTTGGGAATAGTGAGTGTGGGATAAGCTCCTAAAAAATCATCGGAACTAAGGAATTATACCACCTTCACATGGGCGTCGTTTGGGGGGGGGGGGGGGGGGCAAGGGGGGGCAGTTGCCCCCCTGGCTTTTACGGCTTAATCAACAACGCATAAGATATGCATTACGAACAACAATCTCATAGAAATAATATTCAGGCTAATATAGTTGAAGAATATTATAGGTTGAATATATTTATTGCATATCTGGGTTCCGCTTTTCCGAAGACTTTGTTAGTTTTTGCTTAAGCATGTTACATCCCAAAAATATAAAAAATACTTTTTCCACTACCGATAACAAAATGAATGTGGTGGAAAAATTTGGAATCGACAATTTTGAAGCTGAATACCAAACTGGAATACGAAAGAGCTTTCTGCACACAATGAGCTCTCCATTGATGATATAGCGTCCAAATATTGTGAATTTTATTCAGACATACGAAATGGTTTAAAAAATATTTATGGCTCTTCCAAAAAACGACAAAGTTAATCGAAAGAACGTTTGGAATGCTAAGGCATGTTAAAACATGGCTGCGGTCTATTCGATCAGTGAGAAGTCATGGTAGGGGAAGCGCAAGATGCGGATAATTCGAGTATTTTAGGGCAATATTTTGTAATTTTGGCATATTAAATACACGTATACATTTTACTTTTTATTAAAAAAATAGGTAAAAACAATAAAATGAGCAACCGGAGTTGCTATGTTGCAAATTATACTAGCAAAAAGACTGTAAATTATATGAATATTCAGTAGCAAAATCGAAATGAAATAAAATAAATAAATGGACAGCTGTATAATAAGAACAAAAAAACCTTTATTTTTGTAATAATTAAGCAATAAATTCTTTTTTTATGATATTCTTTAACATCTCTTAAATCTTAAGTAAATGATTAGATTTCTGAATTATTGTATATGGCTGACATGCAATCTTGTGACTTATTGATAGGAAACCAGTTTTATTCATTAATGTCTTGGGTTCTTTCGAACTAAAAATGAATAAAATATAAATTACAATCGCAAATATACTAATTATTTTTGTTATTACGTTTTAATTCTACGTTATTATATAATGTTAATATTTTTATTTTGAAATTATTTAACCTATTCTTTAATGACAACTTATTATACTTAGGCAAGATCTCTATTTACGAGAAAATGTAAATACCTGCCTATGTTTTATTATTGATTTTTATTGACTTTTTTTAGCTAAAGTAATAAAAATATATAATAATAATTTTTTCACTTGTTTTAAAATTAAAATTAACATATATATTTCTTAATTACGAACTTGTATTGTCAGTATACGCAAATATCGTCCTTTAGTTCATAAAATAGTTGGCGTTGCTGTCACGCACGGAGTAAATAATGAATGAAAATAGGCTGACTGAAAAATAAATTATGTTTTGCGTTATCGATGTTTTTAGTAGAAAAAAAAGAAATTTAAAATTTGCCTTTTCCTAGTGTTTTTTTTTTGTATTCATTGACATATTTGAGTGAGTTTTTTTGTTTTTTATAAATTTTTATTTTTAATTATTATGTTCATATTGTTCTTTTATATCACACCTTGTTTTTTAAAAATGTGCTTCAAGTTTCTTGTTTTTTTTTTTTAATTTTAGTTTTTGTCTTTTTTGTTTGGTTATTTTATTTATTAGAGACTTGTTATGATAACTTAAGTATCAGTTCTGTCAAATGGGTCAGTGACATTGTTAGGGTTACTACTAAAGTTTCACTCCCCTTATCTTCACAGTTCTGTTTGAAAGACTGGAACAAACACTTTCTTATAATTGATTCAATTATTCTGTGACGTCCTGGCTTACTTCCGGTTTTTCCGGAAATAACGAAAATCGAAATTTTTTTATTGTTAAATGGAAACCCTCTCTTTTATTGTAAATTTAATAATTTTTGTATAATAATAATGTATTGAAAATTTTCTGTCAGCTGTCAAAATGGCCGCCATATTGGATAATATTTTTTTCTAAACATGTCATTATTAATTCGTTTATGGAAAAAAATATAGTAATGTACGATCTTTATAAAATTTTTGAAAGCTTCAACATTTCCATTGAGACCCATTTACCGTATACCAGTGGCGTATCTAAGCATTTTTATTATTAGCAAACCGTTTAATAATTCCATCCGCTTTTATCTTCGTTGTTAATTGAGATATTGGAATGAAAACTTTTTTGGTTAAAATCTTGGAATAAATACTGTCATATACTGGATTCAATTTGTGTGTGACGTCATGGCTTACTTCTGGTTTTTCGGAAATAACAGAAAATATCAATTTATTTTTAATTTTTAAATAGAAACCCCCTTTTTTA